CCCCCCCCCGCCGAGAACGCCCATGATATTATGCGATTTTAGGCGATTTAAAGCGATTTTAGGCGATTTAAGAGAAATTTGACAATTTTGACCCGCGATTCAATGCGATTTTGGGCGATTTTAGGCGATTTAGGTTTAGGTTTAGATTTGACGAATCTGCGGCATGAAAATGCTATGTTTCAAGGCGTTCGGGAACAGGTTTAAGCAAGCCGTTGAGCCTTTAAATGCTGCTAAAAGGAAAGTATTGTGCACCTCGAATATACGTAGACGTGGGACCGTGCGAAAAGTCGACCATATGTGGCCAAATTTACGTATTGGAAAACCTCACTTCGGCAAATCATGTCGATTTATTAGGCGTTTATATACAAAGCGAGAAGTAGAAATATAAATCTCTCGGGAACATATTTACGCTTCTCGGATTGTCGCTAGAATTTCGGGAGTTAATACTGGCCTTATTTGATAAATGTTTAGACGTGGGATCGTGTAATTTCATTACGCGATCGAACAGAAATTGCGTATATTGAATTTCTCTTATCAAATCTATATAACGCCGCCATTTTGAATTTATTTGGTGTAAGCTTAACCCGCATGCTTGTCAGCCATGTTGTCCTTCATTTCTGGCCATGTAACCAATTGCTCTATGGATAAAATTCTTGCGTGACCCTGCTTATGATGTCACATGCATATCCGCCAAAATCCAAGATGGCGGAAAGCTCGCTGATTTGTGATTTTTTCTTTTGAAATATCTCAAGAGATAATAAAGTTACGCAAAATCGGTAAAAGAAATTAGTATAATTTTAACAGTTCTTCCAAATGAAATAATAAAAAAATATATTGCCATGTGCCTAATGCCTTTAAAAGTCTATATTTAGTCACTACTTAAAGAGAAAACTACATGTGCAAATTTGAAAACTGCATGTGCAAATTTGGTTTAATTTAATATGGAATTTCTTTCGGCAGTTCTCTCATATCCAAACACCGATACAATTGTGTATTATTTCGTGAGTTAATAAATTTTTGTTTATTTTTTAGCATTTGATCTAAAATCTCTCGAAGCCATAAAACGCAAAACACCCTACACGTCCACCGAGGAATATTTGGATATTAATTACCGATTACTTCGCGAAGAGTGCTTCAGAAATTTATGTGATGGCATTCAGAATTATCGCGAGAATCAGATATGCGATGCTCAAAAAATGAAAATGTACAGGTAATTAATGCTATTCAATCAGTAAGTTATATTTAACAGATATTAAATGTTTTACGTTTTGATATACAGTTATATAAAACGAGTTGGAATTGGGAAAACGAGAAATTGTGTGGAAACACGACGCCCGGCCCGAGCGCAAATATAGCACAAAGAAATATAAAGAAATTTTTTGACATTGAGTTATATCAATTAACATAGCCAGCGTAGCGGCTATCAGGGAATGGACGGTCTGCACGAGATCTACTGTTTTGCCATTTCCGCCCACTTAGCCTGAGGGCTACTCCACTTTCAACAGATGTCAAAATTGCCCAATCACACAGATTGGTTACGTTTGCAAATTTACATGTCAAATTGAGTAATTTAGATTGCTTTATGTTTTCAAATTTCAAAATAAAATAATATACGGATGTCGGCTAAAGAAAATTGAATTCTCTAATCGCACAAAATTATTAGCTACAAAATCATGAAGAAATAATCTATTTGTCGACGATGAAAACGAACACGCTCGTGAAAGAGACGCTGCTAACAGACAGCAATCCATCGAAAACACCACAGTCAATATCGTTAGACAGGGTTCGTACGCCCCCTGGAAATCCTGGAAAACCCTGGATCTTTATTTTAGTCCTGAAAAACCCTTGAAAACCCTGGAATTTCAAATTTATCCCTGGAAAACCCTGGAAAGCTGAGAAACTGAGCTGGGTGTAGGATTATACCTTAACTATTTAGCACTATCTTAAAACGAAAGATTGAACAAAAGGTTTTTGCATCATATATAGTCAAACTATGAATATATTTCGTTCAAACTGGTACAAACCCAAAATTATCTGTGCAAGATGAAGTACTAGTCGTCGCGAACGTTTCGTATCCGTTAAACACTTGTTGATTTAAATTTCAAATGCCCCTGGAAAACCCCTGGAAGGTTTATGGAGGTGTACGAACTCTGTTAGAGTTTTATGAATAGAGTTACATGTTTAGTATATACTCGTTTTTCTCTCTCTGGGAGAACGAGCATATACGGCAAAGCATGCATGGGGTTTCGGGCAAGCTGTCCTTTCCCTTATAGCCGCTACGCAGGCTATATCAACACGCCTCTTAGCCAATCAGCGTTCAGAATTTACAAATGCTATATTATAATTATTTATGTAAATAATATAGTGGACTGATGACAAATTGTAAGTCAAGTTTAATTAAATGAAAAGATTGCGATGAAGATTTCGATGGTTTTTACAAGTAAAAGAATTTCAGAAACAAATTTATTATTTATTTGTTATGAGGAACAACTATATTAAGTGAATAGCAGATTAATTTATGTTACAAAATCTATTTACTGAATCAAGTTCCCAATAGCAAACAAATTTTAAGGCTATTGGAACAGTTCAACTGACTTATCACCAGTGAACTCTATTTAGGCTGGAACGATAACTTGGCCGTCATCTTTGAAAGCCGAATTGACGTACAGTGCCAGTCCCTTTATATTGTTTTCGTAGGCGCGGTTGACAACCGCACCTACAAAAACAATAGGAACGGAATGGAACTGTACGTCAATTCGGCTTGAAATTGGCTTCAAAGATGGCGGCCAAATTACAGTCAGTTATCGTTCCAGTCTAAATAGAGTTCACTGCTTATCACCAACGAAGTGACGAATGTATTATGGAACACTTGCTTATATTAGTTTTAAACTTCATTGGAGAGTCAAACCTGAATCCCAAGTTCTTTGACTTGTCTGTTAAATTTATGGAGATATCGCTATAAACTTGCAAGGAACTAAAGTTGATTTTAGTATTTTACCATCTGTTTTACCATCATTAACTTTCTACTTTTCATTAACTATCACGTAGCCGACCCAATCCTTTGTGTCATCAATACAATAGCAGCGACTGCAACAAGTTGACAATTAGCGATGAACAATGACCACAAACTGTCTGAAAGTTAACCATGATCCCAGTCTCTTCTTTACAGTAATAAACATTAAATAAAATCAGAAATGTAATTACTTTAGTCAATTTAATCTTGATAAAAATGGTTGCAACCAAGATGTTATCTGAATTTGCCAGAAAAATTCGTTGAACTTTCCCAAGCCAATAATAGTAACACAAATATGTATGTTGACAATATTTATCATACCCGATATAATCCGCTATAAGCTACTGATTAATTGTAATTTATTCGTTTTCAAGGATTACATTGCAGAGAATTACTGGCGGTAACACACAAATCTTTCTTTTGTTGAACTGTATGGACTACTATGAAAAGGAGAACAGGTATTCATTCATATGTTCTCGGATGTTCATATTTTTACGTATTTAAAGCTATTTTTGGATTTAAGTCAGTTAAGCAAAGTAGGCAAAATTGATGTACTTTATAATTTTCACATTAGGAAGAGATTTTTTTTCATTTTAACACGTGCTTAAAACTAATGAGTATTATGCCATTTGATATCGACTTTCAACATTTTTAGTTTTAAATTTGACAAGTTTCTCAATCAGCAATCAATCTTTAAAAGGATGTTTTATGCTATCTCTATAAAATAATGCTAAAATGAAGAGACCGTGGTAGTATAGTAGGTAGTTTTCGAATCCTTTTTGCGCTGGACGAGAAGGGAGCAGTTGATTATTTTCATAATGGTGAGGAGTGGAATATGAGGTGGTAAGTTGGACGACTTATTATGTAGGCATGATGTCACCGATTATGTATGCATTGACGTCATGATAGACTCGTGACAAGACCGGCCATGTTTGGGATAAATAATCGTAAGGGTGAAGAGCGAGGACGAGGTGTGAGTTATTATGTTGTGCTGGACTCATTGGTATGAAATATGGAGGTGCACGTGGTTTCGGTAATTGTTATGCAATGACGTTATCGCGTAACAAAGCTGTGTTAGTTTAGCGAGCGATATGACACATGCGGAGTATTATCAAATTGAAATCAGGGAAATACAGGAAAATACACACATACGGCAAATTTAATACCATTTGCTAAGCACAAGTTAATTGATAGAAATCAAAATCGAAGCCTTGACGATTCTATAGGGACTAGATTATGTACAAGATGTAAAACGGCAGCATCAATTGGAAATATGAACGAGAAATGATGTAATGATGGTTTGTTTACGTGGTGAATTTTTGGGTTGGCTGCTTTTTCGTTGTTTTGTTTACTATTTTGTTGCTATCTAGTTGTTTGCTTTATGTATTGCTTGTCTGCATGGTTGCATATTGTTTGGAACTTGTTTTTGCGGTCGTTTATAATTAGCTTGTATCCTTCTTCATTGTGTCTGAATTACTATAGATGAGTTATGTTTTGTTGTCTAACATTCAGTATATTTACAACTTCCTGTTATACTGTGTTCCATAATATATTTCATTATTTTTAATTAATTATTTGGTCTAATTGTATATCATTTTATTATTTTATATTATCTTTATCATTCGATATGTTTTTGTTATTCATTTTGTTATTCAGCTTGGAAGAAGAGGAAGATACGTCTAATGAAATACTCTATGGTAGCTTGATGTGTATTTCACTGAGTAAAAAGTTTGATAGATTGATATGGGCAACAGTTGTAAATTGTGATCCACGACTACATGCGCAAAGCAATCCAAATTCAAATATAAAGTAAGTACAAACTACTATATTCGCCAAGAGTCGACCCATAAATTGTCGTCCTGCTAAATTGGGCAGACGTTTTATTAGTTAACCTATACTGTAGCTGCACCGTAGCACGAGAACGAACGAATAACCTCATTAACTGAACGACTGTACCGTTCACGTTCGTTTAACTCAATTCTTTCTACTGGCTGAGACAAGTTAAATTATCATATTCGTTTCTTAAGTTGAGCTTACGTAGTCTTATAATTCTTTGTGAATAGCTTTGTATTCCTGCTATAAATTACCGCACCAGTCGTGTACAGCTACTACAGCAAAAAATTAATGGAATTTAATGTAAAATAAATCGAAATGATGCGAACCTTGCTAAACATAACCAAACTATAGCCTGCAACGCATAGCCTAACTGCAGAACTGCTTGACCATGCAGCATTGCTTTACTTACATTGCTTTACCCCAGCATTTACGCTATATTTCTATTCTTATGAAACAATTTGCATGAGTACGTGTATGAACCAAATGCAATTTCGTATGCGCAGCATTTGTATCCTTTTCCCAGCTGCACGTCGATTTCCAACATTAACATACAGTAGAGCTCTTGGACGATGACAGGAATCTCGCGAAGTCTCTCATCCTTCACGTACTGTACGATATCGTTCGCACTAATGTCCCAGATCGGACTGTTTTCCATATACCGCTCATGAATAACTGCTAAACGGAGTGGGAACTTTTCGGATTTGAACTCAGCGTGTTCGAAAGTATTAGTTCCCGTAAAAATATTTCAGATCTAAGACATGCTTATAATGAAAATGTTTTCTAGGCACTTTTCGTGGTCAGAACACACGGACTACATTTGCTAAACAGTTACGTATGTTTTGATACATGCATGTTTAATTGTAAATATAAGATAGCTTAGTAACATAAGTCATAACTGAATATTCGTACGTTTTCGTTGAGTTGTGCATGTTCACTCCTGGGTTGTAACGTATCTTCCATAGTTCGGCTCATACTAACTCGTCATTCGTTCACTCGTTCGTTCAATTTGGTCTATATTCGTACATGTTTAAATTATATTATGCTAACCAATCAGCTTTCGCGATTTCATTGAAATCAATTTACATACTCTCGTTCTTCAGTGCAAGTTTTAAACTATTATAAATACTTGAATCTATATGTAAATGAACAGTACTTCGTATCGTTTAGTGTAACGAATCGTTTTTAGACTCGAACCACTCGCTACATGTAATTGCTAAAAATATACCAGTAAATCGATGTTTGTTTTTCCACCTGTATATTTAACCGTTATTACGGAATTGCTATAGTTTTTTTGTTAAGTTTTAAATTGTTTAATTTAAATTTAATGAGCTTTGCAAATAATGCTATTTAGTATAAATTTTGCATCCAAATGAGCTTTCGCGCGTTCTGATTGACTAGTTGACTAGAAAATCCGGCTGACGCAATATTTACCAACTGACTACTGATACTAGTAAATAATGCTTTTCAAAAAGAATGATTCGGCAAATTAATTGGTTTCCAAATCGACAAAATATTGAAAAAATTGTCCCCAGAAAACGAAATAAGCGCAAAATTTTGGGTTTAACTTGAAAGGTAGGATTCCTTTATTATTTTACTGTGTCAAACATATTCACGGACAATTTAAAATGTATTTAAAACTCCGAAAATTCACTGCAAACAAATGGCAAAAGCAATCCCAACTGTTGGGAAAAACATATAGTTGCCGTGATATTCTTTTAAAACAATTTTGGTTTGTATCCTGTAGATATGATATCTCAATTTGTACGACACTATTTCTTTTGATATGTCATGTTTTCACAACCTCGTACCCAGGCTCTTACCTATGGGAAAGACCCTTGTTGGGGCTGGTCCACTGAACTATATAACATGGATGTCTGACTCGAGCTCAAAAAGTGAAGCCAACATGGCGGAATTTGAAGGCATTCTTGCGCGTCATTCTCAGTCCCCTTACGTGCGCGTTCAACAAAACTTTTATATTTTTCTTTACTTTCCGAGTAAAAATCTGGTGAAAAACAGACGAAATTTGAATGAAAATTTGAATTCTGGTATTTTGTTTGGGTTCGGTTATAAATTTTAATTATTATTTGTTTAGGAGATGTGATATTTGAGTGGAAAGAAAGCAGTGACAAAACAAAACACAAAGTCACTCAATCTTTCAAAATATCTCTATTGCCCCTATCGACAAGAGTTTCACACACATGAATAACTCATTAAAATGAACAGTTTAAGTTTATAAGCAAACATCAAAGTGATTTTATTAAATAGAAAATAAAAAAAAAAAAAATTTTCTTACATGTATGGAATTAAATTGGCTAAAAACTGCCTCGAAAACTGCAGTTAAAAAGCAGTTTTAGGTCAGGAAAACCACAGGAGGCCCAGGCTCGATTTGCCCGCGCCCGCCTGTGCCTTCCTTATAACGAGGGAAGGAAGGAGACATTGAGACCAAAATAGCCCAGACTTGCATATGTCACACGAAACTATCCTCGATTTTTCACCTTTAAATGCATTTCTTTCACGATTAGTCGATATCCCCTGCAAGAATGATATCGTATAACTCTCAAAACAACGATGCTTTAATCAAAGAGCTTAAATTCGCTCTAAACTTCGTGAGGGAACGACAAAATTCGGCCAAAATATATCCGCGTGCCGGGTTTGCTGGACAAAAAGCGGAAGTCGTTGAACAACTCAAAATACACTCAAACCTGATTGGACAACGAATATCAACAAACATTTCAAATTATTTTAACAGTACTGTAATAATTTCAATCATACAAACAAAACTATTCACAAACGTTATAATAAAGTGTAAATATTACTGCATGTAAATATAACTGTAGTACGTTAATATGTACAATAAATTGTATTTCACATTGTCGACATTGTGTTTGTTAAAATAATTTGAAATGTTTGTTGATATTCGTTGTCCAATCAGGTTTGAGTGTATTTTGAGTTGTTCAACGACTTCCGCTTTTTGTCCAGCAAACCCGGCACGCGGATATATTTTGGCCGAATTTTGTCGTTCCCTCACGAAGTTTAGAGCGAATTTAAGCTCTTTGATTAAAGCATTGTTGTTTTGAGAGTTATACGGTATCATTCTTGCAGGGGATATCGACTAATCGTGAAAGAAATGCATTTAAAGGTGAAAAATCGAGGATAGTTTCGTGTGACATATGCAAGTCTGGGCTATTTTGGTCTCAATGTCTCCTTCCTTCCCTCGTTATAAGGAAGGCACAGGCGGGCGCGGGCAAATCGAGCCTGGGCCTCCTGTGGGAAAACCGACTAAAATAAGCTAAATAATGGTGTGAAAACTGAAAAGCACCATAGAAACAAGAAAACGAAACAACCAAAGCAAAAATAAATTGCCAATTTATAAAAATACAGATTTTATATCAAAAAAACAAAAAAGTTTGAAATTAGTTGTTGAATTCGCAACGAAAAATACAGATTTACTCACACATACAGTGGGAAAATGCAGTAGACAGATCGATTAGATGAAAGAAATCAGGTTTACATGAAATAAATAAAGTTTATTTCCTTTTTTGCTCTTCTAAAATGAAGAATAACACAACCCGAGAGTCGCGGACCCATCACTTCCCGCCATGAAAATACAAAAATTGTTTGGCCGCGCGGGTAAGGAGACTGAGAATGACGCGCAAGAATGGCTTCAAAATCCGCCATCTTTGGCTTCACTTTTTGATTACGTCAATGACTGAAGTCAGCCTTCCATGTATATAGTTCACTGGGCTGGTCACATGACTTTACAAAAATAGATTGGCTAAGGGGGGAGGGCAGAGTATCAAATTGCATGCTTCCACAAAAAACGTTACACTTCAGTTACAAGGAGTGGATCAGAGTGATCTGAATTATATTTCGTCATTTTTGCGATACATGCATGGTTCGAAATGCTTGCTCATTTTTGCGTTTTTCTGTTTGCTTATATTTTGTCTACAGTCAAGTCAACAAAGCTAGAAAATCGCAATCCCCCATGCTTTCAAGATGTTTCGTATCAAATCGGTCAGTTGACAGTTGTTACTGTTTTTATATTTCTAATATTTCTGTAACAAATATGCCATTAGATTTGTTAATTGTTGTTTGCAAATGTTGATAGGCTTTGAACCGATTTATTTGAAATTGTACGCGTCTTGTTTTGTTGAAGGTTGATAATTTTCAAAAGTAACTTTTTCACGAGTTTGTAAGCCAATGTGAAACATTTGACTTCTAAATAAAACCAGAACAGTAAAACTGTCTGTGATTTATCTTTGAATGTAGTTCATCGTTTTTATTGAAAACTTTAGGAGAATGGGTATAGCCACTAATAGGTAGTAAAGTACAAAAATTATCAGGGGAATGTAAAAAATCCTCTGCCTCGGGACTCAATACACATACACATGCATGTCATGCATGCGCTGTCCTTATTGCGGCAGATAGTAGCCTCCATGCATGCATGAATCAAGCAAAAGAATAACAGCAATATATACAGTATAAAATCATAATTTTTCTGATATACGCAAATGACACTTTATTACGAATATATACATGGATAAGCATAGTCATACTCTCAATAGTAATATAGTCGAATGGATAAGCATAGTCATACTCTCAATAGTAATATAGAACAATAGACATATTAACATTTAGATTCTGGACCGTGGTAGCTATTGAATTAGCTCAGCTTTCATTGAGACTTGGGAACAAGCCGTTTAATTATATCTATACGACAGTCTAGTGTATACCATAGGCATAGACACTATAAAATATGTATTTAAGAATTAAGGGAAATATCGCAATTTTTTTCTATTTTTCTAGTAAAATATAGACACTATACATTAACACTATACTGTATACAGACTTTACAGTATATATCGATGTCTATACCATTAACAGTGTCTCACAGCAGCATGCCAGCATTCTTTTATATAAATCCGTATATATTTCACAAAATAAAAATCTTCTTGTATTTATATTATTATAAAGAACATCGTCATCGATCACAGTAAAGCAAATGACAATGTCACAATTCAAGCTGTTTATCATGCAAATTTATGTTTATTATGCGGTGTCTATTGTATTGAGTTATGTACCGTATAATTAGTACGTAGACTGTACTTGCATGTTATTCCTTCGAGTAGCCTGCTGTTGTGGTATTATTTTACCGTGGATTTGATAACAGAGTCAGAGAGGTTTATGTATTTCTTGACCGTTGAATTTCAGTGAAGCCAATGCAGGAAATTACACACCACGCGGTCTTTAATATTGTTACAAAATTTACAATTGGCGATATTTCGGAAATCATAAGTTCCCTCTTGTCGTTATTAAATAAATCCTTTGGGTCGAGTATCAGGTTATACTGGTCCATCTAGAAATATATTATCTTCATATCTTGTATGTTTACCGCGACATGTGACTTAATACTTCGACAAAGCGATCGACATGTAATAATGGATGGCACACTACAGGATTTATATACATTTTAGGAGTTTCTTTTACATTACTATTAGCGCTCGAGATTACAATATATTTTTAGTAACCATAAAAGTGTGCTAATAGGCGTGCCTTTGCTTTGTTTATTTTTACATTTGACAGCATCGGCAATAATTCCCTTGCCACTTCTCCCTGAGTGTTATTAAAACTATAATTGAAAACACCCCAGATTCTGGGTGTCACGTGACCAGCCCCAACCAGGGTCTTTCCGCAGCTTGAGGGCGTGCGAAGATAAGAGCCTGGGTACGAGGTTGATGTTTTCATTGTTATTGTGTTTTCTAAACTTGTAAAGTGAAAAGTATATTTAAAAAAACTTTATTTCGAGGAATAGTTTTACATTTCATTTCACCAATTTTCTCAGCCATTTCCTGAACAAATTAAAGCTAAACAGAAACCAATTTTTTAGTTCTAAGAATGGGAAAAAAGTTATTCCATCGTTGCGTTCATATTCCAAGAAAAAGTCACACAGGAAGCCATTTTAAAACTTATTTAAAACCGGAGTTTTTGTTTTCAAACAAATAGCACAAAGTATCCCGACTGTTCAATGGGAAAAACCTTGCCGTAATATTCTTTTAAATCCATTTTGTTTTGTATCCTATAGATTTCTCAATTTGTACGATACTATTTCTTTTGATATGTCATGTTTTCATTGTTCTGTATGGCGTTCTGACCGCTGTATTGTGTTTTAGAAACTTGTATTAAAGTAAAAAGTATTATTAAAACTTTATTTCGAACGATATAGTTTTACATTTCATTTTACCAAATTTCTCAGCCATTTCCTGAAAAAATTATTGCTAAACAGGAACTATTTTTTAATTCTATTAAGTCTGGTGAAAAAGTCATTCCATTATTGTGTTTATATTCTAAGCAGAAATCGAGAAAAACAACTTTGTAATAAAGCAATAAAGTCACACAAGAAGCCATTTTAAAAGCGTGTGCGTACAAGAAACACTGCATGCAACACTGTTAGTGACAGTAACCGTGAACAGGCCGAAAACAATTTTATTTCCGAATTTTAATTGAACTGATATTTGGATATTTTGTTTTATTCATTAAAAATTTATACTAAAACAATTATTCGCCTCAGACTCAGTGATTACGGTGAATATTCACCTCGACTTCGTCTCAGTGAATATTCAGCGGTAATCACTTCGCCTTAAAGGGAAATGGCAATATATTTTTTTATTTTCTCGTTTGAAAGAACATTTAAAACCATATATAAAACTCTTTTACCGTTTTTTCATATCTTGCTTTCTTCTACAAATATTTTAATCGAAAGAAATGAAATGTCCGCCATCTTGAATTTTTGTGGATATGCATGTTACGTCACAACAGGGGTCACGCAATATTTTTATCTAGACAACCACTAATCATTTTGCACCCAAAATTATACTCTGTATGTTCTTGGAAATATCAAGATCACTTGAAACGTTTAAAACATCTACCAGTCAATATTTGGTCAGTAACGAATACTTTTATATGGTTAATCCCTGTTGTGACGTCACCAAAACTACCGTTAATGAGATCAAAATTTTATCCAAGATGGCTGACATCTCATTACTTCAAGTGAAAATATTTCAAGAACTAAGCAAGATATGAAGAATCGGTAAAAGAAGTTATTAAATAGTTTCAAAAGTTCTTTCAAATGAGAAAATAAAAAAATATATTGCCATTTCCCTTTAAGCGAATAATTGTAAAATATCCAATACAACACCCATTTTATTTGGTAATTTTATTATAGGACGGTTCCTGTTAGATTATGTTCGGATCGGAATAAGATGAAAAACATTGACGTTTTGTTAGAATTGTCAAGAATAACTAATGAAGGTAAGCTGAGAGTCTCTCCTACGTGTTTTTGTTTGGTACGGCATTTTACGAAATAATGGTTTTGAAAGTTATTCTGTACACAAAAAGGTTTAGTCTCATTTATCTCCCTTTGCCTTAAAATTTCGTTGACTATAAACATTCGCTAAATTTTACGCATATCAATGACTGGAGACTGATCAAACATAATTTCAACAATTACGGATAAAAGTTCGATCGTTGGGATTTTATAGGATAGGGGGGAAATATGTGATGTACATACGATTGTAGATATGTATGATTGACACTCGTATAGTGTTTGTGCTCATATACTGTATAAGTTAAGTTGTATTTCGCTATAAATTTTATAATATTGAGGATGAATACGGGGCCCTATAGCTTTTGTCATTCGTTGGGCGAAGTCCTTAATTGTTAGCCATTCTCCGGGTGGCATATTGTATAGGGAAAATAGACAGGGAACGAGTGGAATTAGTCAGTGGCGGATTACCCAATAGACTGAGTAGAATGAAGCTTACAAGCCCTGCCTCCAAGAGGCTGTGATTTTCAGATAATGCACTTTCTATTAGAATTATTGTGCTTTTTTTGTCCTCAATTAAACAATGAGATATTGATATAGCAGCTAATCCAAAAACTATAAGTTCCTTTGTTTTCATGATTGTTGCATGACCTTAACCGTAACGCCATGCACCATTTAACTTTCCAATGTTCAGCACTCATGCAGTATTGCCATAATTGGGGTGTATTTGTTATGTCCGTTGACTATCTCGAGAATTAAAAATATAGGAACGAGAGGAGCCCAACTGATACAACATACAGACTGAACCTGTATGTTGTATCAGCACGGCATTAAATGATGTATTTGCTGTTTATTTTAATTAAATCAGTCAAATTTAAATTAGTGCTTTCTTTGTCCTCAATTAAACAATTTAAATTTGTAGTGCTTTTTTTGTCCTCAATAGACCTTTCCCCTTTTGAGTGAAATTTTGATCTAGACAAGTCTGGACAAAATTTTCATCACATGCAGCTTGAAAGAGCATCACAAAATTAGTAATATTCCGAAGTTTCGTTGCGAAATGTTGTAAAATGCGGATAATATAGCCTTGCGAAGTTTGCCGTTTTTCAGTCATTTGGTATTACAAACGGGAAATTGATAATCAGATGATCAAACTGATGCAAAATGTTACATTGTAATGCAAAATGACTGAAAAACGGCAAACTTCGCAAGGCTATATTATCCGCATTTTACAACATTTCACAACGAAACTTCGGAATATTACTAATTTTGTGTTGCTCTTTCAAGCTGTGATGAAATTGTTGCCCAGGCATATCTAGATCAAAATTTCACTCATAAGGGAAAGGTCTATTAAACAATGAGATATTGATATAGCAGCTAATCCAGAAACCATAAGTTCCTTTGTTTTCATGATTGTTGCATGACCTTAACCCTAACGCCATGCACCATTTAACTTTCCAATGTTCAGCAGTCATGAAGTATTGCCATAATTGGGGTGTATTTGTTATTTTCGTTGATTATCTCAAGAATTAAAAATATAGGAACGAGAGGAGCCCAACTGATACAACATACAGACTGAACCTGTATGTTGTATCAGCACGGCATTAAATGATGTATTTGCTGTTTATTTTAATCAAATCAGTCAAATTTAAATTTGTAGGTGACCATGCTTTGATGGCCGAAAGCCCCACGTTTTACAGTGCATTTGGTCCATGCATGGATCGCTTTAAAGAAATGCATAAAAAAGGTCAGTAGAAAGCACATGGCCAATTCCACATAATTTTACATGTGAAATAAATGTTCACGTATCAACCTTTATAATATGAAAACTCATTTTCAATTGCATTTCATCAAATTTTCTGATTCCAAAATTTTCAAAGGGTTTGGTTATGCATAATATAAAAGAAAGTATATTAATAATTCATGAGGAAAAGACAAAGGAAATCAGTCACTACCGCAATTGTGGTTTTATATGTGATAAAAAAATCATGTTAATTTACATAAACGTTAGGTTTGATTTTCTCGGTTTAGACAATTTTGTTTTTAAAAAAATACTTCGCCAATAAACTCATAAAACTTAAAACACTTGCAGTATGTGCTTTATGAGTTACAAAACACTTGACTGTCGTGCATGTTATATCTGATAAAGCACCCATGCTCGTGTTTTAAGTACTACAGTATTTAAAACATGAGCAGCAGTGTTTTATCAGATATAAAGATACGAGGCAAAGCCGAGTATCTTTAGGTTTGATAAAACTCGCACTGCATGCGAATGTGTAAGTCGAGAATATCAAAGTTAAAGTTTATGTAAATCAAGGAAAATCTCTATCACATATAAAGATACGACACGCTTATGATTTTTCTTTGTGTTGTCCTTATGAATTATTAATGAATTTTTGAAAGTATAGCAGACCTTAATATTTTTGATATCATTAATTAAAAACTGAATTGAATATGTGTATACTTGTTAGACGATATGCCTCTTGTGGATGAGTTGGTCTTTGCAAAAAAGTCGGATCCACCAAAATATACGCATGACAAGGAACAGAAATGTGATTGGAGCATTATATTTGAAAAACCGAACGGTTATGATTTCACATTTCCGCAAGGTCAGAAACTCAGCCCCATTGAGCAGTTCAAGTACCTCCAAGAAACTATGGGAACATCGCAGAGCTTGCTGGATGAAACACAGATGCTGGCAATCAAGAACTTTTTGGAAAATAGAGTTTCATTAATACAGGTGATTTTCGATGTTTATTTTTTATTACAATTGCTGAATGGAAAGATCATGCCAAACTTCTCATCCACATAACCCTGAAATTTCTATATGTGCAGTGTACAGTATTATTGTATCTTCCTTTATGGCAATTGTACATAAAATAGTTAAAAAATGACAATAGTTAAACTACTTTACTGCAAGATTCAGTAAGATGTAAATGGATATTTGAATTTTGCCTCTTTCAATAGTGGCGTGAATAAGTGAAGGTATTGTGCATTTTGTGAAGAAAGCGCCATATTGACAGGATGTGTAGACACAAGTATGAATAACAGATATGGAGGCAGCTGTGAAATGAACGCTAATAGCCAAAACTTTGGAATTTCTGACATTTTATTATAAATTTCTATTATTGATAGAAATTTTAAAATTCCAAGGTAGCTCACAGAAAAACCAAGTTGAGTGGTTGACACGTACACAAAAAACTGTCTATACAGGGTGTCTAAAAAAACACTACGGAAACTCGACAGGCTGCCGTGCATCATAAACGTGGCTAGAAATTCAATTTTTACATTAGGACAAAAGAACAGTTAATTAGCTTTTCAATGATACTCATTTTAAATCGTAACGATGAGAAGTGGCCGAATACTTGTCAAATAAAAATTTCCGGTCGAAATCACATTCTTCCACCGTTGGGAATTGCATGAAAAACGAAACATAGTCAATTCCCAAGAGGGAATTAAAATTGAATGTTAAATTGTCTAAAATGAGCTCAAGTCATCAGTCTTCCTCTTAGTGAGACAATAAGAACGTCATTAAACACGGTTCAATTAACCACTGAACAAAGAACATTCATAATCAACACGTTTTACGATACAAATAGCTTGCAGCAGACTCGCGTTGCTTTTGGATTGATTAACTTAATTTGCATAATTAATTATTTTCAATTCCCAAACGTGGAAGAATGTGATTTCGACCGGCAGTTTTTATTTGACGAGTATGTGGCCAATTCTCACCGTTTCGATTTAAAAAAGGTATCATTGAAAAGCTAAATAACAACTCTTTCGTTCTATATAAAAATTGAATTGTTTAGCGAAGTTTATGATGCATGGCAGTCCGTTGAATTTCTATAGCATTTTTTTAGACACCCTGTAGGACAGTAAAGCAGTTTTTTATTTTCCAAATATTTCCTGAGCTGCAACCTGTTAATAAAGGCGATTTGAAGCTGGTGCCAGTCGTTGCACCTATTTTTGATCTATTTTGTGCGATTTCGTAACTGATTAACTTAAAAACGACTTGGCAAATAAAAAACTGCTTTAATGTTCTATATACAGTTTTTTTGTGTACTAACTTTTATTTTTTCTGTGAGCTACCTTGGAATTTTAAAATTTCTATCAGTAATAGAAATTTATATTCAAATATCAGAAATTCAAAATATTTAGCTGTTAAATGTCTCCATATCTGATATTACTTGTATTAAAGTCTACACATCCTGTCAATATGGTGCTTTTTTCAATAACTGCCCAATTATTCCAAAATTGTACAATTATTCCAAAATTGTGCGCTTATCGATCCTCCCCACTACAAGGAAACAGTCCAAGAATAATGTATATGGCGAGAATTGGAAATAACTAATTCTTTTGAAATATGTAACAATTATTCGCCGAAGGCGAGGTGATTATCAGGGAATATTCGCCGAGACGAAGTTACACAAGTCTTTTGTGTTTTTGGGACTGAACTTGTTTTAATTTCCCTTATTTCTTTATCAGTAACTCCCACAAAACGGCTAGCCGCCATTTTGAAAATTTCGGTTTTGTTATATTCACCTTTAGGTGAATATAACAGCTTAATACGTCAAATTTGACCAATCAACGTGTAGGATTTGTTATGTTCACTTGTGCAAAAATACTAATTACGAATAATAAAATTTATGATTCAAAGTATATACAATATACAGACACGACAAATAGGAAACAAATGTCCTAATTAAAGTCAAGGAAATAGTTTTGAGCGAATCGAGTCTGATTGTGTGTTCGTGCCATGATAGGCAAAGATCCTTCATGTACAGCATTTCAAACTAGAGGCATTCGTACTTCCTCTGGCACTGTCGAAGGATAGGAAAAACAGCTTTCAATTCGGGAATGCATCCCCTCTTGCATGACACACACGCACGTGCTTCTCTATAAACCGACCGCTTAATATGTTCATCAATGCGGAATTTGGTTTGTAATTTAAATTTACATCCTTCAAAAATACCTCATTTTCGACACATCCACGTTGATCTTCACTTCCCTTGGTTGCACTCTGGGATAATCAGGTGACTGAAGTCTTCCGATCCCAATTTCATGACGGTAAATAGTCTTGCGTCAATGAATTTGTTATTTCAGGGACCTCCAGGCACTGGCAAGTCCTTCCTGGGTGCAAGGATTTTACGTTTGATGCTTTCGATGGGAATACATAAGCGAGGTCCTATTTTGGTAGGTATAACAATAAAATTATTCACTTTCCGAAGGGCTTTCACTCGAAACGTCAAAGTTCTGCGTATATTTGTCAAGCAGTTGCATATCTTTCACACCGCCGCTATTAAATTACTGTGTGTACTGTCCTGCACGTTGGATTATTTTATTAATTAATATTATCTATCAGACGTGTGCGATGATATCTCAATATGACTTTAATCTTTTTTGTATAGGTTATGACCTACAAAAACTTTGCATTGGATCATTTTTTGGAATCGTGTTTGGAGTATTCTCCCGACAATATCGTTCGCATTGGAAAGGCAGGAAATGAAAAACTGTCTGAAATCAATCTTAAAAATGTAAGATACATTTCTTAAAAATTAATAATGAAGTCCAAACTAGTTCATTGTAAACGTATATATAGAGGGTATTACACGGCGGCGCGAAGCTATGACTTTTATGTTCGAGTGGTGAAAACAATATTTTACGAACTAGCGCAGCGAGTGAGTAAAATATTGTTTTAACACGAGAAGATAAAAGTCATATCTTCAAGCCACCGCGTGTAATGTTCTGTTTATTATGTAGTCCCAAGCGAAAAAATGTGAAATTTCACGCTCAAAAGCAAATTGGAAAAAGTCACGTGATCGATATCTTCACTATAATGAAGATATGGAAAATATCTCACTGTGTATTTTAAATAATAAAAGTTAATATATAAATCGTGATATATATTTTCGAACATTTGCATGGTCATTACATATTTATATACATGATATGCAGCACAGTTTTAAGTCATATTGTATAGGCTGGTCTCTAATGACAATAGATTATTAGGAATGAGCGATATACCAGTTCTTATTTAATACCTGAAATTTAAATTTCGAGTGTGGAATGACTGAATAAGATAGACATTCTTAATAGATCCATGCGCACTAGACTCCAAGCACAGAAGAAACAGATAACATAACCGTGGGAAACGATGGCACAAATTGATACCGATACATACTGATTTCGCTGAATTTACTTTGCTGCACAAATAGCAAACCATTGTTATCTATAAAATACAGACAAGTGAAACTCCAAAAATCGATAACATTTTTTATTTATCTACGTTTCGACTATATTTCAGTCAACATCAGGATAAACTAGCTAGCTAGGTTATATACCTAGCTAGTTTATCCTGATGATGACTGAAATATAGTCGAAACGCGTAGATAAATAAAAAATGTTATCGATTTTTGGAGTTTCACTTGTTTTGTATTTTATTAAAATACTCAGTGGTTCTAGAAATTATCTATAAGGACCAAGGAATAGAGGATACTTGTTCTCGTTTTGTTTAATTTTACAGCAATTACCTTCCTATAAATTCTTGTATATCTTCTCATAAAAACTAAAATATCTGCATGGGATTCCGGAATTATTTCCTGATCAAGAGCAAAAGAAAAGTAGGATGTTGCTAGTATTTTAGCCAATAGAACATTTTCAACAACACGGACAGAAGATTCAAGTTCTCAGTCTGCTATTGATGTCGGATTTTTTAACTTTTTAACATGACAGGTAGGCCAAGGTAAAGGAATTTATAAAGGATTCCTTTCTATGGACAGGGAAGCAACTGAAAGAATGCGGAGCTCGCAGTCCAAGTTAAAAATGCTCTTCAAATGTTTATCAAATCCTGTTTCCACCTTCACCAAGGTATATATTAGCTAATGTAATTTCTACTTTGTCTTTGTAGCATGATGTACAGTATATCGCTGCTGCAATCACTGTGTTCTGTACATTTTAATCCACTAAATACAACACCTATGCACCTTATAGTCCGATAAAGTAGCTTCCCTGCTATACAATTTCAATCTATGCCGACTAAAATCGCAGCGTGTGTGCCGGCACGGGTTATTAAGCCGTGTAGCAAAGCACAGAACACGTCACAAGTAATATACAAAATTATTCTGGTTATAAATAATATATGGTAATTATACAAACTATGTCTTACGTCATCTATAACGACTCTGAATGAAACGCCAAAATGATGTACGTTTTTGGCTTTTTATCCATCTGCCAGAGCGCTGGCCAGTTTGCCAGAGCGCCGGCAGTTTTGCCAGAGCGCCATTTTGCCAGAGCGCCAGTTTTGCCAGAGCGCCAGTTTTGCCAGAGCGCCAGAGTGCCAGTTTCGCCAGAGTGCCAGTTTCGCCAGAGCACCAGAGTGCCAGTTTTGCCAGAGCGCCAGTTTTGCCAGAGCGCAAGTTTTGCCAGAGCGCCAGTTTCGCCAGAGCGCCAGTTTAACTAAAGTGCTAGTCGGTTTTGCCAGTTTTGCCCGAGCGCCAGTTTTGCCAGAGCGCCAGTTTTGCCAGAGTGCCAGTTTTGCCAGAGCGCCAGTTTCGCCAGTTTACTAAAGTGCTAGTCAGTTTTGCCAGAGCGCCAGTTTTGCCAGAGCGCCAGTTTCGCCAGAGCGCCAGTTTAGTCAATTTTGCCAGAGCGCCAGTTTTGCCAGAGTGCCAGTTTTGCCAGTGGCAAGTAAAGGAATTCGCTGCTTTTCTTTCAAACCATATCGTATACTGAACTTAACTAAACGTACTGCTTTGTTTCAGAGAATTAAAACAGAAATTACTTTGACGCAAAAGAAAATGCTGAAATATATTGAGATTTACGATTAAGTTAAAATTGCAATTCTACTACTAGAATATACATGCTCTTGCGTTCATTCTGGTTTGTTATACGACCTTTGTCAGTTTGTCTTGCATATGAAAGATTTATTACTGTATATATGATCACACCATCTTACATAACAAGTTATTGTCTTTGTCTATTGCTCATATTTGTTGAGGAAATATTGCTATAATACTTTGATATTTCTAAACCAGAGAGTCGAAATTCAAAATACCTGCCCTGAAGCAGAACTGCGATAACAACGAGCCGGTAATGTGGCACTTGAAGTGTCACGCATTTAATCAAACATTATCAGTAACATAACAATAATGAAATATTTTGATAGTTCAACTTAACGAAAATATATTCATTTAATTTTCAGTCATTTTGTGTAAAGCTATTAAGCATGTTAAATTGAAAAAGACTACACAGCAGGCAGAATTGTTTCGGCAATTATATATACAACAAGTCGACGACAATGTAGCTAAGAAATCATAGACATGCATGCAGAAATCAGACACTTGTTTTGCATATATAGAGAGAAAGTTCAATAATAGATTATGAACTTTTTCTACTGAATCCATATCTTGGTTTTATATTGTATTTAATTACCTAGGAAAGGTTCAACCTCGTTCCCAGGGTCTTTAGGAAAGACCCTGGTATCGGCTGGTCACGTGCCTCGTCCAAAATTGATTGCCCGAGGGGGTGTGGTAAAAGTATCAAATTACAAACAGTTAAAAACATAAATTTTGCGAACTACCTATTACCAGTAAGTTCAAAATACTTGCTAATTTTTGTTTATTTTATTTGCTTTGAATTTACAAGAACATTTTTACCAACAGTCAAGTCAAGAAACCAAGCAAATCGTTACTCGCAGTGCTCTCTCGTGTTATTATTATTCAATGCTCTCTTCACACTCGAGCGCGGTTTTATAACAAACGTTTATAAATGGGCTTTTCAGTGGTCACCATTTCTACATATCTAATGTTTCTAAAACAAGCATTAGATTTGCCCTTTTTTGTAAACGTTGCTATGCTTCGCACGTCTTGTTTATAAGATTTTTAAAAGAAACAGTATTATATTCTCTAGGACTAGAGAGTAGAGCCCAATATCAGCAAATGTAAACATTTGTTACTAGCCAAACAGAGAAATGTCTGTCAGTGATTTATCTTTAAAATTTTGGATTTAGTACATAATTCGTATTCATTAATTATAGTAAGGCTTTAGCCTTTTTCTTGGTCAGATAATGTTTTCCTAATATGCACACAACTAGGCTATAATCTACATCCCAAATTTACAGTGTCAGACGCGCACAGACTGCCATACGAATACAGATAAATTTTCGCGTTTTCTACTTCTACTAAGGCTACTAACAGTTTTCATTGTGTCTCAATCATCTCAGTGTTTATTTCTGGTTCAATAAGTTCATTTATATTTCTATATTTATTTGATAGTGGCATATATAGTCTGTGATACATGTAGGCTATTTACACACAAGCAATCCTGGATAATCCTGGATATGATAGAGACGATACAAGCTGTTCATTTAAAAATAACGATATAATTCTATTTCACAAAGCAAAAAAAATAAATCTCACTTATATTATTAAGAATATATATAAAGCAGAAAATTAAAGCTTGTGTCAAAACGAAAGCTGTTTATAAAATTTATAAATGTGGTATAAACACAGTAGTAAACAGTAAGACAAATATATTGTCGTTTGACTTATCTTTGATGTATGACTTTACTGTAATACCGTAGATTTTCAACAGACAGCTAGACTTTGACATATACCATGATCGTTGAAATCTTGCAGGAAATTTTATAGTCTTTTGACGGGATTTAAGTTTTGTGATCAGGCCTTTATAATCAACAATCTCGATACAGTTGGCGTCTTGGCGATATTTCGGAAATCAAAAGATCTCGCTATTTCGTTCCAATTCCACATCTCATCAATAAATATATTCTTTTGGTCCGAGTATCAGGATATACTTTAATACTAACAGATAAATATAAACCACATTGGTCGGTCTAGAGATATGAATTTTCTTGTAGGCTTATTGCCACGCCGCCCAGGCGCTTTCTTTGGCAAGTCTACGAGTTGAAATCTGATCCAACTTGCTTGAATTGTAACTCGACACTAGATTATAAAGCATAAAGTCACATCACGATAAATATTAATTTTTAATTGCAGTTCTCTTCATGATTTCTTGTTGCAAATTTAAATTTCATCACACAAAATTGCAAATATTGTTACAAACGCGACAAACACGCTCCTCTCCCACCCTGCCCATAGTATCATTTCAATTTATCACCCAGAATCTGGGTGACACGTGACCAGCCGAAACCAGGGTCTTTCCCAACCTCGTCCCCAGGGTCTTCTTCGTGCATGGCGCGTGAAAAATGAGAAGACCCTGGTAAAGGCTCTTCTAAACTCCGTTGTGATTGGTTTATACATTTGACCTTGACATGAGCTTTGAGGATGTTGTTACAATGAATATGATTGGTTTACCGCTAAATAATTCTTGTAATGAGCCCTACGATTGGTTGCATGATTTATAAGGATTTTCACAACAATAATTCGTTTTGAAGTAAAATGCATGCTTCGCCAAGGCGCGAAGCTCGTTTCTGGCAAATATTTTCCAACATTCAGCCTAATATCAGGCACAATATATAATGGACATCGTAGTGTGAATAAATATAGACATCATTTTAATTTGATACTTCAAAGTTGAGACAGCTAATGTTTACATCGTTATCGAAGGTATGAATATATACACATATATTGTATGATCAATCAAACCACAGAACCATTTGCGTTTGTGACGTTTTAGTTCCTCTCAAATACAACCACTTGTTTAATACGAAAACCTCTTGTCTGCTTCAAGTGACAGTTTAATACCAGTCTCAGCTGATGCATTTTTATAGCAGAAATAGACGCACAGAACGATTGCTGTTTGTATAGCTTAATTGTTACATGTTAAAAAATTATATTAATAATAAAGTAAGCAGCCCTTGCTGGGCTCATAGGACACCAGGAAATACTAAAAGCGAATCTAAGATCCATGCAATATATCAATAATTTGTGCCACTGCTGGAGCACAGCTACTTGAATTTTCCACAAGAATGGATGCCACTGACCTTCACAAATGGAACATTTAAATTCTATTCAACATAACTATAAAATTATTTTCAGTTAAATCTAGCATTAGTGTTACACTGTAAATCATCCATAATTATCACAGGTGTACAGAGAGTACACTTTTCAACCCCCTCCCACAGCGACTTAACCGATGATGGTGGGTCTATAGTTCAACATTTTAAAAAGCGTATACTGGTTATGAACTTGTCTACCTGAAGCGTATAGTTTGTACACTTCAGGAAATGTTGGTAGTTATGGATGACTCATAATTGAATTTCATTAGCCTTTACATCATTGTGAATTACCATTTGCATGCATGTAACACTAACAGCATGATCTTTATTCTATACCGTATAGGAAAAATTGAACACATCTGTCCTGCAAAGCTAGTACAAATTTACATTAGCAGCTAGTGAATCAGTAAGGGAGGTATAATAAAGCAAGTGTTCAAATAAATGCAGCCAAATCAAAATTGTTTGTCTCCACACTGCACTTCCTCGTAAATGGACAGCTCAATGAGAACAAATGTTGTGGACAACTGTGGTTTCGACATTGCAGGCTGGCTGCACATTTTGCAATGATGTACATGCAGGAGAGCAGTTGTTGAATCATCAATGAAATCGATTTCCAAAGAGCTCCAAGGCTTACTTTTTGAAATGACTGAGAATTCATTTTCGATATGAGTGAGAGCTCCTATCAGCCACATGTTAGGATGCGTATTACCAGCTCTTTTCTCTACCTTTGCACAGTACACAGAAGGAAAAACAAAGACCAGATTTTGAACCGAGTAACCTTTATTTAACTTAAAACAGCACTGTATATAACTTTAAATATTGTAAAAAATGAAATATCAGTTAAATACTAATTCAGTAAAAATTGTCTTGGTATGGAAATATCTCTTTCTGTTGTATATGCATTGTTCAATTACCATGTCACTTTCTTGAGTATTACCAGAATATTAATAAGTATAGTTGAGCCAGCTTCCTAATATTATGGAATCTAGGATAGTTGTTGACTTTGCGGTTTCCCAGCTTAATAACCTCATATTAGCAACATTCCTAGATGTGAAGACTAACAGCATCCCCATTAAGTTGTACATATACAGTTGCAGTCTTCTTGACAGTCCTTGTTTTATCCGTATTGATGTTTGAGAAGCATGAATATCTAAAATATAATACAATTGATTTGCATTTCATTTCACAAACTGGAAACCTAAATCTATATGTTACACTAAATCTATCCAATTAATTTATTAACAGTATATTTATTTCTAATTGAGGCAGAAACCACTTACATAGGTTACGTTTGAACAAAACTATCTCTAAACTGGTTGGCAATCTTTTAGTTTTACTGATTCACCATTCAGTGCACAATATAAACTCGTAGTACAAATGAAATTTCTGCTGTCTGAAAGGGGATGGGGAAATGCACTTTTATAATAGTAACACGTATTAGTAGGATGTGCAAAAGGAAAGGGAGTTCTAATCTCCTATGTGAGAGCTGTGGATCTAAGGAAAATTATTCCACATGTAAGCACTTTGCATGCTCCAAGGGAATAAACTACAAATTACAATATTATTATATACCAGAATATGTATAAACATGCGATAATTTTTAGTCAAAATAACTTGAACAAGTGCAACGTTCACAGTATAAAAATATTAAAATGGATAATTTAGTGATGAGTTTTATATGGCCCACTAGTAAATTTTCATTATCAAAATATAATTTCTCAAAACTCAGCGCTTTAAAAAAATACTTTGTAGGCATATTAGCCCAGTCATAGGGCCATTATATGTCAAATGATAATATAAATAATAATATATTGTAGTTTTTCAATTACCTTCACAGTGACAGGGCTGTCAGACTGCCAGTGCAAGCAAGCCGTGAGACATGACAAACAACGCGAATTCTTCGGCCAGGAAGATAAAAATTAGACGTGCTAGCTTCTTGTTATTTTCTCTCTCTAGACATCGTAATTTTTGAAGAGAAATTACTTATCCAGAGGTATATTTTAGCAAAAAAAATACATTTCCAAACTGAAATATTTCATCTCAAGAAGGCCATGAAAAATTTGTACGCCAGCAATGAATCGGTCAGCGCCAAGGCAAATTCGCTTTTGCGCATGCACTAAAATGTCCATGAATCGTGGAGATTTTCACAGCCTTTACCAGGGTCTTCTCATTTTTCACGCGCCATGCACGAAGAAGACCCTGGGGACGAGGTTGAACCTGAGTATCAGGCCGTACTTTTTAGGGCACAGGCACGCCTGATCGTGGGCGAAGGGGAGAAAAATAGAGCCTGATACTCAGGTTACTCGGTTTATGGTTGTCACAACTCCTTTGACAAAGACGGATTGTATTCACACTGTCACTGGTAAGGAAATATTATTTTGTGCTTAGATATCATTCGAGAAGTTTTTTCTGCAAATGACAATGTAAAGCAAACGGTAGTTTATGTTTTGTTCACGTGCATGTGTCACCAGCTTTTCTCGACTATGGCTTCTTTTCTGAGGGTTTTGCATGCAGTTTGTTTCATTCAAATATTATATTTCCATTGTTCCTTGTGATGTTCTCATGTGCGTTTTTCCTACCTACTGTACAGTGTATTTTATAGGCCTGTTTGTATTTATGAAAGCATATTGTTATTGAATTTTTTCCCTTCACATATTTAAGTATTCCTGATGCAAAGAAGCATCCAGAGTTGTACAGCATATGGGTTGAGTATATGAATAAACATGCGACAGTGAAGTCTGTTCCTGCGAAAGTAGTCGTTTGTGTTCAGATCACTTTAGTGCTGATATGTACGAGATAAAGGGCAAAAGCCAGAAATTAGTATTGAGACCGGATGCTAATACCAACAATAGTTACACAAAGGTTTGCTCAGGTCATTGGTGCGATTTAAAGTGTTAAAGTGTTATATGTAACAGTGTGCATGAGTTACATTCTTTGCTAAGGGACAAGTCATTATTAATGCCGGGTAGGGGGCTGGAGGAAATTTTTATGAATAGCAAAAATTTTTCATGACCCCTTATTTTTCTAACAAACTATTTTATCCCGTACCCCCTTATTGAGGCAACATATTTCATAGCCCCCCTCCACCCCAATTCTGAATTCAATTACTCTAAGTCAGTTTTGTAACCATTTTTCCTGCCCTCATACTCAGTTTACTAGCAGATGTAAAGAATATTGTAAATATTGAAAATAAAGAATATTGTAAATATTGAAAATGATAGCCAAGTAGATAATTCAGACTTTATACCTGAAAAGTTGTTGGTCCTCAAACAAAAAACCTACAAATCAGACCTACTTTTACTAATTGAAAAAAATACATTTGTGTCTGGTGGAAGCATTACTGTATATTGAAGAGATGGCAGAAGAGACTGTCAACAACATGCAGAAACAGAACATGCAAAAGAGGTCCACTGTGTTAAAAGCAGGACAACAACTGTCAACTGAATCTTGCATTTGCAAATGCAGTGCATGACCCTTTAGACAAATTCTTTGGTGATGATGAGGATGACAATTTCCATATACAGTGCCCAGAACACAACTTTTAGGTTCAATATATTGGGCATTACTGTTCAATGTATGTATACTGTATATATCCATCACTCTTTTGATATTGCATGTTACAAACTATAGATTTTATTTTTTGCCCCCCCCTTTATGTTCAAAATATTTTCTGCCCCCCCCCCTTCATGGTCAAAATTTTTGTGGCCCCTCTATATTAAAATTTATTGTACATTTACTAGGAATGGTATGCTGGATGTGTTTTAAAAGAGGGCATACAAAAATTGTGTGCCCAAATAGAGCAAAAACCCACTCAGACAGTTGTTCAAGAACAACATAATTGGCACAATTGCCATGATAATTCACTAAGTAACTTTGTGTATGTTATAATGTGTGAATGTTGTGTGAGTGTTGTGTGTTAATTTTAATTTATTTATTAGGCCATTAATAGATATGCTTGGTTTGAAAAATATTTTAGGGGGGGGATGTCCCCACTGCTGGTGCCACCACTGGAAATATCAGCTAATTATAGCCAGCATAGCTTCAATAAAATATATTGAAGTAAATATGACATCAAATACTCTTTTATTAAAAGCGATAGCTATGTGTGTGTTTCACTTGTATCATTTGGGACAACCCGAGAATACCCTTATGGAATTAACAAAATAAAACATGGGTATGAAACCAAGAATACTTATTGATGGCCTGTAATAGTAATATAATATTGTATATATTTTTAAATTAAACTTTTTAAATGTTGAATAAATCTAATTTGTAATGAAAATTAATAATGCACATAAGAATATGTTTAATAAAATAATATATAATTATTGTTTGGTGTGCTAGATCCTTAATTAACTAATCCTTTGCCTGGTCAAACAATATCATTCTATTGCCATGAATTGCCATCGAATATAACAATGATTCCAGTGACAAACGTAGAGCCATATACATTTGGGTATTTATTGGTGCAGATTTACTTTCCCCATAATGTGCACAGAGTACATTGTGAGTAGACATGATCAACAATGTGCAGTTTCCATAATCTGAAAAATACAAACAGCAGTAAATATTTAGATGATACATGCATAAACCGACATAAGTTTCGTTTCAACAAAGCATGGCTGTGTTCACAAATTTATACATTAAAATTATATGTATAGTAAAAATGCAAAAGGAACAACATACTTTTTATACAATTTGGAAGAGAATTATGCACATATCAACGGCCTGCCCGGGGGGTACACCCTGGGACAACTGGGGGGAAACGAGGGGGAATTTGGTATTTTATCTGTGTGTTCTTCCTGTGAACCCCGGGAAGATTAGGGAGTGGTCATTATTTATGGGGAGTGGGGGGTGTTGGGAAATGGGGAAAATAAGGATTGAAAACTTTTTTGACCCCCTCCAGACTGAAGGCAAACTTGAATGTGTCTCCCCCCTCATAAAAGTAGAAACCTTTCTGACCCCACCCCCCAGTGTGGATTGAAAAATTAACAGCAATGAAACAGGTGTGCATTGCATGCAAAGTTAGATATTAGGACAATCTGTTTAATCTAGCTCATGATGTTTTACCCTGGTGAATATGATTCAACCATATGTGATTAAAAATATATATTATGTGTTACTACTTTGCAATGCAACATTTGTCTCACCATAACCCTAACCCATGACCCGTCTTCATAGAGGGCCCTGAAGGGGTAAAATGGGAACTGGGATTGATCTATTTTTAGACTGGGAAAATGGGATTTGGGTTGCTGGGACTGGGATTTGGCCACTGGGAATGGGAAATGAAGTCCTCAAAAATAGGAGTGGGATTGAGGTAATGCGAGTCAATTCCCAATTTTTCTGCGTTTTGAGTATTTTAAAATACAATTTTTATCCGTTTTTGGTGTCTTTGGTCATGATTTTTGTTGTTAACTATATTATTCACAACACTACCTGCGAACAGGCATACTCTGGCACCCGGAATTCAGGGTTTTCTGATTATGCGTGTCTCAGAATTCTGCAAATGCCATTTCCGGGATTCAAATTTTAACATTTTCCATGCCTTCGGCACGAACACCCCCTGTTATTT